TTTTTGGCAACCGGGTGGTGTTCATCAAACCTCTCACAAGCCTGTTCTGTTTCATAAACAGCAGTGTCCATGAGCTCTTGTTTAACATGAATTTCAGCAGACGGCACATCACCTGAGATAGTATTGTTACTTTCAAGAACATGTCCATGAAACCTCTGCATGTGTCTGAAGAGGCAGCTTGTGCCGAGGTTTGTAGTCTTTTTGCCTCTGCTAATTGTGCGGCTACAGTGCAAACAAACCACCTTTGTGGGGTCAGCAGGCGAAATGGAGAAATGGTTCCACAGTTTTGATGTCTTTTTGCTGAAAACAGGCAGGGTTTGTGGCTTTTTATCACTGGCAGGGCTCTCAGTTTCTTTGGTTGAAACTGTGTCCGTTGCGGTGAGATTGGTGTAGGGATGAGGGGAGGATTCCTTCTCATCTGTGCTTTTTTGGTTTTTGAGGACGTCTGGGTGGCGTCTCATGAGATGCCTCATCAGACAGCTTGTACCAAAGTCACCCCGCTTCCCCCGACTGATGACGCATGGACAGTAACGGCACAGTGCTTTTAACTGGTCAACTGGTGACACTATGAAATGGTGCCACACTTCAGATTTCACCCGTTTCATGATCTTCTTGTTTTGCTGGAAAACTGAATGATCCTGATTGAGGCTGGGGCCCTCTGGGAGGTCGCGTGGTGAGGAGGTTAGGGGGGTTTCCTCCCCCTGATTTTTGAAGGAGAGATTGAGGGAGGACTCCTGCGGCATTATCTCGTCAGATTCCACTTTTATGTCCATGCTTTCCTCCATGCTTTGGGGTAATTCATCGGATATGGTTTCTGGTGACGATGGAAAAAGGGGGGATTCTTTTTTTAATTCCAGTGGATCCTGTAGTTGTGTGCGGGACAGCAGTGAGGGCGGGTTTGTATAGGGTGGGGGAATGTGATTGCCCTGTCCATTTTCCTCAATGACAACCTCTTTGTGGGCCCTCCACATATGACGAATAAGACAGCTTGTCCCTAGATCCTTCCCATTTTTACCCCGACTGAATTCATTCATGCAATGGATACATACCGCTTTGGAATTATCAGCAGGCGACAGGTAGAAGTGTTTCCATACAGCTGATCTCCGACGGGAACTGGAGCTTTTAGGGGTCCCAGGAAGACGCTCGGGCCCTCCGTCTGACATATCTTCAAGGTTGTTTTCATTGGAATGTGAGGATGAAAGCGTGCTGCAAACAGTGTCGGCACACGGTTCTAGTTTTGGTTCGACTTTGGGCAACACTTCTTTGGATGACAGGTCTGAATTTTCAGCTGAGGAGGTGGACGGTGAAGTGTTCTTTGAGGCAGAAGAGATAATGCTATTTGTCATGTCTCCGTTTTTTGGTGAGTTTGGGGAGGGAGGTATCAAAGATGAGGAGAGCGCGCTCGTCATGTTATGTGTTGATGCGTCCGCTCCGTCTTGGATGAGGACAGTGGGGTGAGCCCTTCGTACGTGTCTCATCAAACAACTTGTGCTGAGGTCTTTCTCGTTCTTACCCCGACTGAACTCTTTCATGCAGTATAAACAGATTGCTTTGGTACTGTCCCGTGGCGATATGCAGAAATGGTTCCAAGCAGGAGATTTTTTTCTTGGGTTGCTGTTACTCCTCATGGATGACAAAAGGCTCTGGGTGACAGCATCCATGGCAACATCATAAAGGGTGCTTGTGTATCCACTTAGTAAATTACTATACTCATCACCATCTCTCGTTACAAAAGGGCCAATGGAGCTACCAAATGCCAGCCTTTCATCATCCTGCGTTTCCTCCTCCATTCCATTTGCATCCTCGGGCTCCTCTTTGATATGTTGACTTTCTTCATTACCATTTTCCAACCTTTCACTCTCCACATTTCCCTCTATATCAGTGTTTAGGCATTTGTTTGCAAGAGTGGGAGAAGCTGGATCAGTCTCACTTGCTTGGTCTGACTCCAACTGTTTGTCATCCTGAGAAGATAAATGAAAAGAAGGGGGAGAGTCTTTATCCAGTGTTATTGAGGAGCAAGCAGGTGACTTTGCATCCGCAGCCTCATGAGGGTTAATGCTGTATGATTTGAACACATAACCATCCTGGCCCTCAATTTTCAGGCAGGTCCCTTTCGCCTCTCTTTTTTTACTTTCTACGGAGCCATTAGGTTCACTGACCATATCCTCACTCATGTGAGAGACGTCTTCCTCTCCATCCATGGCAGCAGCCCAAGGGTGTCTGTAGAATAGTCAGGTCTGCGTTGTCAAATGTAATCAGTTTTTTCAGGTGTAGTCATCAATACTGCAGTTCTCAAGCAGGTGATGTAATGAGCGTGTGGCTGTCTGGGACACAGGGTGCCTGCTTGTCCCTCTCCATTTATGACTGAAGTAGTTCCGCCTTTCTGCACACAACCTACGGAAAGGGAGAGGGAAAACAGAATGAAAGTGTATTCTTAAGAAATAACAAGACTCCAAAACAACAGGTAATGTACAGTAGGTTCTGTACATGACATTTTAACTTTTTATTATTTTCTAATAACTGATTGACCAGGCTCTATATACAAGGTTTGACAGCATAATGGTGTTTAAAGTTACAACAAACAAGTAAAATCTCTCAGAAAATCAACCTGCATTGACCGCTTTGTTACTAACTGTAACTTTGTGGTAATAAGCATGAATGGAAATGTTTAAATTTGCAAGTTGACAAGCACCACCTAAACACAGTATTAATTTTAGTCTCCTGCCTACGCTGCCTCATTTACACATACAGGTTTGGCCTGGCCTTCAGTTCCTCTGGAGGACTTGTATTCAGCCACTTGGAAAATGGTAATGCTCCATTAAGGACAGGAACACCTCTCCAAGGTCCTTCTACTGAACTGTTGCTCAATTCTTTCAGCTTTCTGAATTATAATAGCCTGTGTTCATCCCCACAAATTATTATCACAACTTTTCCTTACCCCCCTTTTAAAACTGTATGCAAATATTTTCCTATTTATTGGATTAATTATGCTTACCATGTAAATATTCACAATATGTATACCTCATGGTACAGTAGATGAAATGAAAATGTGCTACAACTGTGCATGCTGCTTAAATCTTTTATATTCTTACTATGGATCCTTGTATGTAGATTGTTTCATTACACTGAAACACTTCAGCAGCTGAGAGCACTGACATCTTGAGAAACTAATGACCAAAATCAGCTTGAGGGTAATGTCTGGTTGAAAAAGAACCAACGTAGTGGCTCCAGTCTGCCATTTTTACCATACAATTGGGATCCTACTAGTCTATCAATGCATTATCAGCACCACACTGTCCAAATGATCCTGTCATAATGTAGGCAGATCTATGTGTATGACATTAATCAATACACATTGTAAAAATGTATAATATATAAAAACATATACAATACAATACAATTCCTAATTTATTCCATACAGCTAAAACACATGCAGTGTAATACAGAAGTGCAATACCTTAATGAAAGGAGGGGTGGTTCTAATATTTAGTACAGCCTCATTCATGTAAATGGGGTGGTCAAAATATTAGAAACACCTCTCAATATATTGCCATAAACAGCACCACTATAAGAGATGTTTGGGGAAAAAAAGTGCATTAAATAATTTTAATGAAAGTAGTATTTATTACAGGACTGTTGATTTAGACTAGGTGTACATAATAAACTAATAACTGGGAGAATATGGCGTGTTTTGTTAACTGGACCAGGTCAAATGTGGTCTGATAAGATCGACTTGTGTCTCACTTTAAGTCTTTATTTCCCTTATGTCAGTAAGTACTGCGTTATGGGCCAATGTAATAAAAATAAAGCATGTTGTGCATGCAGCATAAAAGAAGTAAAGGGAAATATTGACACTTATTAACTACAAAATTGTGTTGTTTTTTTTTTTTATCTTTACAATACATGAGCAAACTATACAGACAAGACACAAGAAACAGTACGTGTACATGCAAGAAACCGAAGCTCTGAAAACACAAGTACACCAGTATCACCCAAACGCAGTGGAACCTGCAGCAAATGTCTAATAAATGATCAGAAAAACAATCGTTCATTCATCTCACTCTGCCCTCGTGAGTGTGGCCAGCACAACCAACTCTATCAGCGTTAATATATATATTATTATCATTATTTAAGTGGGTAATCCAAAACAAACAAACAAGTAACGCTATGCAATTTCCTACGTGAGCAGTGACGGACAGTTTTTCCGGGTTTGGCTAAAGTGCTAGTCAGGAAGATGCGAGAGGACAGCTCGAAATCTGCTTTCATCTCCACATAACACACCAACTAATAAAAAGGTTATCCAGGTTTACGCCGGCTTTCGTCGTAAACCACGTTGAGCTAACACACATCCTCAAACTAGCGCGACCCTCACACCCGCAAATATTAAAGGTTATAATGAAACCTCTCTGGCAGTAGCGCTACATCATCAGTAAACACCACGGTGGCTATCCTGGGAGCTAACTGGGCTAGCCGCAGGGCTAATACACACACACACACACAAAACAACACACAGGTACAACACTTCTGTCACATGGGTCGGTGGCACAAACATTCAACGCAATGGAACTTCTACAACTACCCCCTTAACGCCGCGGTGGTCTGGGGAAAGGCTTTTGGTAAATGTCGGACCACACCACGACTGCTAGCTGGTTAGCTGCCAGCTAGGCCACACACAGGACATAGTAGCTAACCTGGCGAGGCAGAACCAGCCGAGGCAACACACGAACCACACGGGATCCGAATCAGACCAGCGCTCACCACGACGTCCAGACCGCATTAAAAAACCCCTCACCAGACGTGTACGTGTGCCCGGGATACTTACTGTGAAGTACGACGGTGGGATCGCTAGGTTTCGGCTCCTAAATAGTTAAATATGACACATTTGATTGATCCGGAGGGGGGTTCACTTTGTTGCTTTTGTCTCCTGGTTTTGCGAGCAGTTCACGTTCGGCCGAAGCAGCTCCACACAGCGTCGGACGGAAGGAACATGTTTTAATGATGTCACCGGGCGCAGGGTCTTCGGTGTGGCGAAGGGGGTAATGCATTTAAGCAACATGTCTCACACACACACACATACACATACAACAAGCTGCTTCGCTTTAATTTTTTCTCAAATTAAAGCCAGTTTTGCGCGACGAGTTATTAAAATGACAGCTGAGTGGTCTCCCGTTTCACTTGATAATACAACAAGCGGTTATATTACCTTATGGGACATTGTGGAAAAATGTGACTTTGTTACATATGTTACTTTATACTCTAATAATAATAATAACAACAACAATAAGAAGAATACACTGTTATTCTTCGCCAAGCCCTTTAACCGTCGCTAAATGACGGTTTCGGTTTCCATAGTAATCGAACTAAATGAACGTCTTCTTCGAACGTAAACTCGGAAAGACCCGAAGTGTGTTCGTTTAATTAAACGAACAAACCTCGACGACACATACGGTAGTAGCTTGTTACGTTACTACGAAATAATTACTGCTCAATGACTTCTGCTACGTGTTGCATTCACGGTCTGGGGCCACAGCTTGGATTTCATATTAACGCTGTAAGCATAGGATATGTATTATTTATCGCCACACGTTATTTTTGCTTTAAACCGACGGGGTTTCTTGACTTCAGAGAGACAGTCTGGGGCGGACTGGTTGCAAGGGTGGGGCATTTAGCAGCGGTTTGTTGTTGTTCTGCCTGTGTCCTGACTGTCCTCTGTGACTAGAGGAGAAATGCTGAATCAATAGCCCGGACCATGACAGATACACACACACACACACCAATTTGAAAGTCATATCCGCTGGTTATGACTTAACAACCCGGTGCGGAGAGCCCAAAAAATAAAAATAAAAAATAAACCAGAGCTAGATTCCCCAGCTTTTGCTCAGACGGTGCTTCGCGCTTTGTTTGGAGCTTTGTCTGTGTACGGCTAGTAAGGCTTGACAAAAGGCGATGCATCGATTTGTGTGACAGATGGGCTTTTGTGTGAAATCTGCGACCCACCACCAACATGACCTCCAGCGTCACACGTAGAGTAGTGCGTACGGGTGGGAGTTGTCTGGTGAAACGCATTGTTGTGTTGGGGGATGAGCCGTCCGTGCTGCTGCTGCTGCTTTTTTGCTCCTGGTCGACTGTGGCTAGCGAGCGACTCCAGCCTATGAATGGTCCACAAAGCAAATAACTGTGTGTTCTCTGTGGAACTTGATATCGAAACTTCACAGGCACCAAGCAGGCATCTTTCTCTTTTTACTAGTAGCTGAACAGACCCCAGTATCGCCCGTTGGATGAGAACATTGTGTGCGGAGTTAGAGCCACTTAGCAGGCCGTATCGCCATTGCTTTGTAAGGCAGCTGGCTAGCTACCGTCTTCTCCAACTAGCAAAACTGTTCGTGAATCCGAGGTACGTGCTTTGGTTTTATACGCTTTTACTGAGCTTTACAGGGGCTGGCGACGAGGAGGCACACAATGCAGCTGCAGAAACGCGCGTTTAATGTGACATATTGTGTCTGAATTAATAAACGATGTGTTTAAAGAGCTCTTGTGTTGTTTGACGCCATTTGCTCCGTTCAAGTGTGTGTGTGTGTGTGTGTGTGTGTGTGGGGGTGGTGGCTAGCTCCTGTTGCTAGTTAGCAGGCTAGCTAATGTTATTGTTAGCAACTTGGCCACTTTGACTTTAAAGGCATTTTGTATGTCTGCACCAAATGGGCAAGCGCTAACTCCTGCGCAGTCATATTGAAAGTGCCCTGTGTGGCCGCCTCCCACCGCATTTAAATGCCCCAGCTCCATTGACAAAGCTGTAACGTTCAGCTGGCGACTACATTACAGTCCACAACACAGTCACTGTAGTTTGAAGGCTTCATATTCTCCCTTAATCCGGTGGTTAACTTTGAGGTCACAGAAGTACAATGCGTTTGAATCACTCTATCATTTCCGCTTGGCCAGGAGGACATTGAATTAAATTACCCCATTTCTCAGTGTGAAGCAGCTAAATTATCATGGCTGTCATTCATAATGGATGTTATTACTTGTAGCGATGTCTGTATCACACGTTCATTTGCTAACCTAGTCACATGCTGTTGAGGAAAACAATTTAGGTGTTGTCATTTATGCTGCTATTATAATGTTTTTATGGGTTTTAACCATAAACTAAAGTGTGGATTACACCACAGAATACTGCATTAGAGAGTTATCGTGCTCTTTGTATTTCTCAACCCTTGAAATGCAGCTTCCTCATTGCGTTCTGTGCCCTCGGTTTAACTCCCCTGGGCCCATATCTAACTGTTTATCCCCACCCTGTGTCTCCACAGCAACACGGAGCGTCAAGATGAAGAAGAAAGCTCGGCAGCACCGGGTCACGGTGCCGCAGAGGCCGCCGTCTCCCATCAAGCCTTCGCCCAACAAGCAGATCTTGACCTACGCCCAGGCTCAGCGCATGGTGGAGTTCGACATCGACGGACGCGTCCATCGGGTCAGCGTATATGACAAGCTGGACGTGATCTCGGACGATGACCCCATGGTGCAGGAGATGATGGAGTGCACCAGCAATAAGGAGAACGCTGAGAAACCACAGCAGCAGGTCCTCCTGAGGTCAGTCCGACTAAAAAACAACCAGGAGAAGAGAAACGCGGCACTGGGCATCACTGGTCACGGAGAGGGAGGTGGACACCAGGCCGGCGTTAACGCAGGACCAAAGCTTCCAGAGCCTAAATTTCGTACCGTGGAATATAATCTTCCAGCAGTTCCTAAGCGCGGAGCTGCCTTTTATAAATACACAGAGAAGACCGAGGAAGAGCTGGATGAGGAAACAGAGTACGACATGGACGAGGAAGATTATTCCTGGCTGGAGCTGGTGAATGAAAAGCGGCGAGGCGAAGGGGTCAGCCAGGTGTCTCACAACGTCTTTGAGTTCCTCGTGGACCGCTTTGAGAAAGAGTTGTACCTGGAGAGTCTGGACCAAGGCAGCGAAAAGCAAGCTCCTATTGACGAGGACGCCGTCTGCTGCATCTGCGTGGACGGAGAGTGTCACAACAGCAACGCCATCCTTTTTTGTGACATGTGCAACGTGGCCGTGCACCAGGAATGTTACGGCGTGCCCTACATTCCCGAGGGCCAGTGGCTCTGCAGACACTGCCTCCAGTCATCCACCCAGCCCGCAGGCTGCATACTTTGTCCTAACAAGGGCGGAGCGGTGAAAAAGACGGACGACGACCGCTGGGGCCACGTGGTGTGTGCCCTCTGGGTCCCCGAGGTCGGCTTCTCCAACACCACCTTCATAGAACCCATCGATGGCATCAGCCACATCCCTCCTGCTCGCTGGAAGCTCACCTGCTACCTCTGCAAGGAGAAAGGCGTCGGGGCGTGCATCCAGTGCCACAAAGCCAACTGTTACACCGCCTTCCACGTCAGCTGTGCCCAAAAGGCCGGCCTCTTTATGAAGATGGAGCCAATCAAAGAGGTAACGGAAACAGGGGAGCCCACGTTCTCCGTAAAAAAGACGGCCTACTGTGGGGCTCACACACCTAATGGGTGTGTAAGGAGGCCTCTTACAATCTATGACGATGCCAAACCCAAAAACGGACTATGTAAGAAGGTGGACAAAGGGAGAGGTACAGGTAAAGGACAGTCAAAAGGGAAGCAGAAGAAGAAGAGTAAGAGTAAGAAGCCTGAGCCCGAGCCTGAGCCTGAAGTTGAGGAGCCAACCCCTGCTGCTGTGCCTACTTTTCCTGCTCACAGGTATACTTACGGGTTCATTAATGACGGTGGTGTACTATTTCTTTAGTTAGCATGAGATATCAGTTACTGTTTACAGCAAAGCGTGTGATTGGTGATATAGGGAGGGCTTTTCTGTCTTCCTTAAGGACACTGATAAGACATGCCGTTGTTGATGGGCAAACTTTGACTGTTGCAGGATTTGAGCATGTGACACAGGTGATTGCCTTCACAGATAGAGGTGTCAGTGGTCAGTATTGAGTGTGCTAGTCAAGCGCTGGGTAGATTTTGTCTGTCAGCTTGTGACCTTTTGAGATGTGCTAGTTGTTGGTGTCTCTCCCCGGCAGTATACGCCTAATACCCGTCTTCCTCGGCTCCTCTAGGTTACAAACTATTATGAACCAGGTGTCAGTCCAGAAGAAGAAAGCCTTTGTGGAGCTGGTCCTAAATTACTGGACGCTAAAGAGGCAATCCAGGAATGGGCTTCCCCTCATCAGACGCCTTCAAACAAGCCTGCAGTCTCAGAAGAATGCACAGCCGGTTTGTTCATCTGTCAGTCAACCACAGAGGGCTTTCAGTCTTCATTTTCCCCTTTACCAAACTACCAGTAGCTTTTAGAACTTGAAATATGTGTTTGTAGGTTTGCATACAGCCAGTCTTTTTTTTACACACGTTGTTTACATTTTAATGTTGCATCCTTTTCAATTCTTGTCTGTTCTTTAATGTGTGTATTTTTTTTATTTAAATGTCTTCTCCAGAGGCAGAATGAGGAGGAGAGCAGGGCACTGAAGGACCAGTTAAAGGAATGGCATCGTCTCCGACACGACCTAGAGAGAGCCCGGCTGCTGCTGGAGCTAATCCGCAAGAGGGAGAAGCTCAAGAGGGAAGAGGTAGGAGTGGAGAAATGGGCAGACTCCTGCCTGAACCTGCAGTCGGAGAAATTCTGCAAAATAAATGCAACAATCTGATCTTCTAAACGGTTTCCCTCTGTGCTGTGCTGTAGATTAAACAGCAGGAAACCCTCCTAGAGATGCAGCTGACTCCCTTCAGTATTTTGCTCAGAGCCCTCTTGGACCAGATCCAGGCAAAAGACCAGGCCAGGATCTTCACCCAGCCGGTTGATGTCAGTGAGGTGAGTTTTGAAAAAAGGAGCTACATCAAGGAAACACAAATACATACTTCTTGTTTGATAAGCCTTCAAACTGGACTTGCTGGTACAAAGCAGCGGGTCCGTTTGACCAGTTTTTCTACCTGATTGCCAGGTAACTGCTTCAGAAATGTTGGAATGATGGCGTGAATGACGGCGTGAGCCCTGACACACCAAGTGGGCCTACTGGCACATGTAAAGGGAGAATAATCACAGACATTGGTTTCTATTTTATCTCCACACATCGGTTCAAAGTTGCATTCCAACACACCACAGCCAGCAGACAACTGGTAGCTGCATGTCACATGAGGTTATAAATGAACCATCCCCCCTCCATGTGTGGGCAGGGTTGAGCAATGTGACTTCCTGGTAGGGTGAATGTGTGACTTGAGAGTAAGGTTTCTTGGCACATGTCTGTAAAATGTGGAGTCTTTGCGCATGCCCGGCTAGCTCAGTCGGTAGAGCATGAGACTCTTAATCTCAGGGTCGTGGGTTCGAGCCCCACGTTGGGCGTTAGCTTTTGACTCCAGACTCCATTACGTTACTAGTAGACCATTCATTTTATCTTTTCTTGGTTAGCTGAGCATTTGTGATAATGTGTTCTAATGTGGTCTACATTTACAGACCTGATGAACTCAATGTTCCGCCCACAGCACAATCTGATTGGTTACACTTCACAAGTCATAGCCTATCAACAGTGAAAGCTGCTGTGCCACAGATGGGCACACACTGGAGTTGCTCTGGTGTGACTAAAGGAAGACAGCAGATATTTCCAAAGTTACAATAAACACTCACAATCACAATCCTATCATCTATTTCTATGATGACAAGCATGTCCAGTTCCCCAGTTATACCACCAAATATTTCCAAAGCCACAGCCTATGGGATTTCAGTCAATGGAGAAAGCAAAAAAAATTACGTCTTTTAAATCAGTCACTCTTCTCTAACCCAATAATTGTGATTCCAACAGCAGGCATCTATTTTATCTTTTACTAGTCCACAGTTCCCATTAAACCGCCCGTTTAGATTAACTATGACCTGTTGTGTCACTACTTGCTTTAACTAGTTCTGTCTGGGTGTATCTGGTCTTGCGTTGATGAAATCATTGGTAACTTGAGAGCAAGGTCCACTGGAAGAAGTCTGTAAAAGGTCAAGGGTGCTTCTTTTTTTATGCCCGGCTAGCTCAGTCGGTAG